AAATTGTACTATTCTTGGCCCAAATGCATTTTAGAATTACTTTGTTAAGTTTTGATTGCACTGAATTTGTATATTAATTCAGGCAAATGGATATGTTTTTAGTATTGAGTTTTCCCATTCACAGACATAATATACCTCTATTTATTTAGGTTTTCTTTTATGGCTTCAATTCACAATTTTACATGTTTTTTCCCCATGATTTTCTTATACATTTCTAGTTAGAACTATCTTTAACAATTTCTAGTTTATGGAATCTTCTAAAGTATAATTACTGTTTCCAGTGGGGTTTTTTTTGTTGTTGTTTTTTTTACTGTTTGGGATGACAATTGACTGCAATCAAGCTTATATCCAGCAAGCTTATACCATTCTTACTAGTGCTAATAGTATGGACATTCTTTCTATTTTTTAATGCTTATAACACTTAATATCTAAAATTATTTTCCACCTTTATCAAAGTAACATAAGCACACAGTTAAAGGTCAAATAGTTCTACAAGTTCTACTTATGAAAACTGGACTCTCCCTAACTGTACACTGTTTTCCACCTCCAAGGGCAGCCATTTTCAATTATTTTAATGGATTATTTTAGATTTTACTGCTATGTCTCATATAGCATGCCTCTGTTGCATTCTTGGTTTCTCACTCTTGGGCTTATCATTGGCTTCCCGCAATGGAAGATGGGGATATAATGTTCTGCTGCTCCAGACCTCATGCCACACACGCACACTTTCTATTCCTCATCCCTGATATTGTTCAATTATGCTTTTGGATAACTGAACAGTCAGTGTCTACATTATAATGACTATATATATATATATATATATATATATGACTAAATATAATGGTATTTAAAGCTGAATCTTGTAACATTCCCATATTTCTCATGGTGATGTCTCACGTGTATGTTTGTGTCACCAGCACCATGACCAGGAAGCAGAACATTTCCATAACCTGTGCTTGCCCTTTACAGTGACCCCATCCCCACCATACTGAACCCCTTGCAGAAGCCAATCTGCTCTCTTTTATATATTGGGTTGTCAGAAAAGTCATGATGTATTTTTGCAATGAAAAATAGAAAAAATACATCATGACTTTTCCGACAACCTAATAATTTTGGCAATGTATAATAATATATGTGGAATAATGCAGCGTGTGACACATTGAGATTGTTTTTGTTCACTCAACATAATGCCTTCGAGAAACCTACAAGTTGTTGCATGTGTAAATAATTCATTCCTTTTTGTTGTGAGTATTTTCTTATATAGATGCCCCAGAGTTTGTTTAACCATTCCCTTATTGGATATTAGGGTTGAGCCTGGTTTCTGCTATTACAAACAGCACTGCTATATATTCATGCACAGGTTCTTGTGTGGACATAAATTTTATTTCTCTGAGATAAATGCCTGAGAATGTAATTGCTGGGTCATATAACTCAATTCCTCTCCTGAAAAAAACCAGGATATAATTCTTTGTGTTGGATGCAGGTACCGACAAATTCTGAGGCACACATTGCCCTTTTATTTGGCCTAAGTTTTACCAGATCTCTCAATAAAGGGATAGAATAAGGAGTCATTTCAGGAGAGACCTGGTTCCCTCCAACAGTGAGCCCGGGTGAACACTCTTCCTTCCTCCAGCTGAGTAGCTCTTAGTGACACTGGTATAGATGAGGCCATAAGCTGGCATCATCTTAGGGTCCTGGGCTTGGGAGTTTGAGACACAGCCCTCAACCACGGCTCCTTTTTGGCCTGGGCTCCCAAATGGGGCGTTACCATGAAGACCTCAGATAGGATGAAGGACCCAATAGAGGCCCCTGGTGGGGAGGAAATACTATTTCCTGTGGGCCTGTCCAAGTCTCTCTGAAACCATTAAGATGAGTAACTCCTCATAGCATAGCTGCCTCCATTGCCTGGTTCCATTTCACAACCTAGAAGCAGGAACTGTCTAGAATTCAAAGCAGGCGACTGTCTCACAGCCATTTCAGCCCATCCTCGGTCCTTCCTCTTATATCACAGGAGGCAGGGCTTCACTCCTCTCACAGAGCAGAGAGTCCAGTTTCTCCAGCCCACATGTGGACAGAACTGCCTGCTCAGGCCTCCAGGATGACCATCCCTGCCTCCTGGTCCCGCCCTCCTCCTTGCCTGCTGCTGACTCTACTGCTGGGACTCACAGGTGAGCACTCCTTGGCTTAGAATTCCCTCCCCCTGACAGGGGTGTGTCATTTGGTGCGGCCACAGAACATCACAGAAGGCCAAGGACTAGGCATTATCTGACAGCATGAAATCAGGGATGTGAACATTGTCTCCATGACCTTCACCTGGTTACCAGACGTATCAAAACAGATGATGCTTCAAACCACAACAGCGACAAGTTTGTGTGGACCGACTCATCTAATCCCCACAACATCCATGTGTGATACTTATGTCTCTTATCCCTGATTTACATGGGGAAACTGAGGTAGAGAGAGTAATTGTCCAATGTCACCTATGTAAGGCAGTGGTTCAGCCAGAATTCAAGCCCAGGCTGACCAGCTCCAAAGTTCATCTTTTGCCTATGTTATACTACTTGACTGCTCAGTGGAGACTGAATGTAGAAATCAGAAAACACAGATAAACAAATAAAAGAATTGTCACCACCCACCAGGCCACTCACAGACACCAGAGTTCAAATTGTGTTGTGTGTACATGTTCACTTTTTATTAATGATTCATTGGATGGTTCCTATATATCATTGTTTTTACTGATCACTTAATATGTGTTATAATTTGATTTAATTCTTAAAACAACCTGCATACAAGCTTCCTAGGATATAGCTTTCTAGATATTTGTCAATGCATGTATTTATGTGTGTGTACATATGAGTATAGTGAGTGTGAGGAAGAGCACACACACACACACACACACACACAGAGGCTATTTCAAAAGGCATTCCTATTCTCCTCAAATTATTTTTCAGTCCATATGAAATTCACAAGAACATATGTTTAGTTCTCCCTTTTTCTCAGCCACCCTCTCTCCTTCTTACTTGTGTAAATTTACCTCTACCCTCCCTCAGACTCTTAAGCAAGCTTCTCTCTTGGTAAAATGAGTAGAATTTTGTGCATTACTATCTTGGAATCCCTCTTTCATGCTGGATAGGGGTATGGAGGAAAGAAGGGGATAAAAGATACAGGGACTGCTGCATGCATGATCTATATCTGTAGTTATATCCATTTCCACACTCATATCTATATCTATATCAGTACCTATATCATCTAATGTCAGTTAAAGACTCAAGGCTCCAGGAAGTATAATGAGTAATACCTTTTCATTTCTTAAAACTCACCTTGTGCAGANTTATTTAAAAATTTAGTTTACAGTAATTAAAGCGTTATAAATTCAGGCAGCTGAGTCAATTATCCTCTCAGAGCCTCAGTTTATTCATCTATAAAATGGTGTTAATGATACCAGCCTCCTAAAATTGTATTAAAGATTAAGTGAAATGACCAGTGGGCCTTGAGGACACTGAGCTGGTTGTCCAGGGTTGTACCTCTAGAGCCTGGTACATTGGCTGGTGTGTGACAGATGTTCCAAATCAATATTTGTTGAGTCAAATTCAAGGGGAGGCTAAAAGGCCAAGATCATCACTTATTTCCAAGAGAGAGCTGAGTGTAGTGAAAAGAGCATAGGCTTGAAATCAGATAGATTTGGATGCAATTAATGGTTCTGAACCTTCCTGACAACATGACATCAGAGGAGGTATTTAAACTCACTGAGTACCGGACCAGCCGAGTGGCTCAGTTGGTTAAGAGCTCGCTCAAGAATGCGAGCTCTGAGCAACAGGGTCGCCGGTTCAATTCCCGACCCAAGCTGAGCTGCCGCTAAGCTGACAACAGGTGGCAGGATGGCTCAGCTAAAAAACAAAAAAACTCACAGAGTACCAGTTGATGTCTTCTTCTGCCCATTGGTATTTAGGGCCAGAGATGCCTGCCCTTGTCTTTGTGGTGTTCCTTTTGGGCTTCAAGGTGATGCTGTTGATGAGTTTCACAGTCACCTACATCCACAGGCGGTGGAACCTGTAACAGGTGAGTTGGGGGCAGGCCTTGGTTTTCAGGAAGGGAGGTCCATGGCACGCCCACAGTGTCACATGGTATGTACAGGGGGTAATCCAGCCTCTAGAAAAGGTTGTGAACACTTATTTCCTCCAAATGCCTTTTGGAATTCTAAGAGCTTCCAAAATGCACGCATTTTGTAATGCCTGGGAGTTTGAAGGTTTTCAAATTAAGTTCCTTGGGACCCTGGAGGTGGGAATCCAAGGTGTGGAGGTGGAATGAAGGTCAAACCTTTGAGATTTAAACTCCAAAGAGTCCCCCATAAACTATTATGTATTTCAGTATTTATATGATATATCTTTGGAATAAATAAAAATATTGGCAAAATCAGCTAATAGATCCTATCTGAAGTGGAGGTGAGGTCTAGTGGCAAAGATTTACGTGGCTATGAAAGGGAGTACAAAACTCAGAAAGAGGTGTTAGGTGAAGCGAGGTGGGGCTTCGTTTCTGATCTGCATCATAAACCCAGGCCAAGCAGAGTGTCTGCCATTTAGTAGGTGCTCAACAACTATTTGTGGAATGAATGAATGAATGAATGAATGAATTGGTGAATGAATTATTTTTCCCTATAGCTCATGCCTGCCCTGTAATACATTGCCTTCTGCCCTCTCCAAGCGGCTCAAGTAGAGAGAAGCTGCAAAGACCTACAGGTTACTCAAGACCTCTGCCCTCCACTCTGACGGACCCACCTCCACCATGGACATGCTCCCTCCACACACCCTCCTGATGGTCCTTCTCTCTGGTGGTAAAGCTGAGTCAAGGATGGACTTTGGTCATGGGACTCGGGCATGTCTGGACCCTGTGCATTGAGCTTCAAACTGGCCCTGCCTCCACCCAAAAGAGAATCAAGAAGATAAGACAACTGGTTTCGATCCTTCCCTGGTCATGAACAACCCTTAATATTCAAAGCAGATTTTACCTATCCAGAGCTTTTGCAAGTATGATTGCATTTTAACACATATATTTGAAATCACTAAGTAAGGATTTTTCTATTCTGAAATATTTAATGAATAATATTAAAAAAGTCCACGGAACTACCAATCTATCTTTGCAAAATATTAACATTTTTGCCTTGTGTTCTCTGTTCCTTTTGAAAACACTATCCTGAATGTGGTGTTATCATTCTCTAGCATGATTTTATACTTTTACAACATATGTGTAAATCCTTAAGCAATATTTAATATTATTTTGCATGTTTTAATTTTTATATAAATGCTATTATACTCTATGCAGCATTCTGGAACTTCATTTTTTTATGCGCAACGGTTTTTGTGATATATTCATGTGCTATATGTAGCTCCATTTTATTAATTTCCCACTGCGCTCTAGTTTTCTATTGTAAGATATGTTACAACTTACCGATTCTTTTCTTGATGGATAGTGAAGCTTTATTTAATGTTTTGCTAAGTACAACATTGTAAGAAGCATTGTTATCTTTGTTTCCTTGGCACAGAGGCCCCCCCCTGGTTCTCTAATGTGATCCACGAAACAGTAGTGCGGGTATCACGTGGGAGGTTTTCTTACACACACAAAAAGGAAGCATTCAATTTTTGAAAAGGTTTTGCTTTTTCCACTTATGCCTTTGATCCAGCTACATTTTCCTGGTGTGTGTGTGTGTGTGTGTGTGTGTGTGTGTGT